GAATGGGGTGGGAATGGAGATTCTGCAGTATCCTTCCCCTGCCACGCCCACCAAGCCACACCACGCCCACCAAGCCACGCCCACAGAACCGGTAGTAAAAAAATTTGGATTTCACCACTGGTTTGAAAGAACCAGTGCACTCCAAAACCTGCCTTACCTTGGGACAATAAACTGATTCCTGCCACCCTTGGGGGGAAATGACCGAGGAGTGATATCAATTATCCAAATCTCAGTGCCAGAGAAGGTGATCTGCTTGTTTCAAGTCTCTACCTAGATGAATGAGTGGTTAATGGTGTGGACCACTTACCTACAGACTGGAAATTCTGCTGCCCTAAAGGATCAGTCCTAAAGATATAGTACTCCTGGAAGAAAACCCCATTCATTGTGTATTTCAGGGGAAGTGGAAATTAAATAGGTAGGCAACGAACCAGTGTAGGCCTCTCTCAATAACTGAATACTTCAATCTCTAACCTTTTGACACAGGAAGGAGACCTTGCCAGTTCAAAAGATGGAAGATGCAGTTCTATGAGTTCAGGTGAAGCAGGAGTCTTTGACTACAAAGGTTCTTTCCCTTCCAGGCAGGTTGGAGTTGGGGAAGGAAAGGAGTTGGGGAATCCCTGAGCAGTTAAGGACAGGAAGGTTTGGGACTTTGCTTAATGAAACACAGGCTCAAATTATCCTACTTCAGATATGTTATGCAAAGACCTATTCCTCTGGAAAGGCTCTCATGCTAGGAAAGGTGCAAGGAAAGAGAAGATGACCAGTAGCAAGATAGATAGACTTAATTACAGAGCTGATGGAAGCACCATTGGAAGACCTGAATGACCAATTAGCGACAGTCATGGAAAAAAAAATATGTAGCCACTAAGAGTTGATGCCAACTTGATGGCACACAATCAATTAAAATGAATGAAATAAGGCACACAGCAGGCAAACTGCAAAGGAATGGATCATCCTCATGAGTCAGATTAAAAATGTTGAAAGAAAGGGAGAGATTTCCACAACAGCCAAGACATGTGCAGTAAAAGTGTTTTGAGTGCCGAAATCTAATAGACCTACTTCATGGATCTGTCAGCAGCTGCAATGAATATTCAGCTGGTTCATGGGAGAATTCCTTAAGAACACTTTAAACATGTTGTTATAGACATTGCTCTTAGAAAAAGAAAATGTTGCCATGTAATGAGAGCAGGTCTCATAATCACACTCAAGAAGAACGGAAAGTATCTATGAAGCATTGGCATGCCTGGCCTAAAGACGCATATACTGTATTGGCTTCATTTGTGAGATATCAAGTTGGACTGGGACTAATATATTCCTGATTTACTCAGTCCACTTTTTTTGGTTTGCACAACATCTTCATTCTTAAACTAGCCAAAATAATCTTATGCAACACATTCTGTGAAATCACACTTCTTTAGTTTGTGGTTTAATGTATGGGGCATACCCAAATTGTTCCCAAAAAATATCTGAATTCCAGATGAGAAAAGGAGGGTATCTTTTCAATTTTTGAGATGAACCAGACTCAAATAAATAAGAGAAATATGCTCCTTCAAGAAGAGATGTACAGGAAGCTAGTATGTAAAAGGAAAAAAATGTTCCCCACAATGAACTTTTATAAGAATTTAACAGCACCTTTCAAACCATAAGGGACACAGTGGCTCAGTGGCTAAGACACTGAGCTTGTCGATTGAAAGGTCGGCAGTTCAGCAGTTCAAACCCTTAGTTCTGCGTAACGGGGTGAGCTCCCGTTACTTGTCCCAGCTTCTGCCAACCTAGCAGTTCGAAAGCACATAAAAAAATGCAAATAAAAAAATAGGGACCATCTTTGGTGGGAAGGTAACAGCGTTCCATGCGCCTTTGGCATTTAGTCATGCTGGCCACATGACCACGGAGACGTCTTTATACAGCACTTCTTCGGCTTTGAACTGGAGATGAGCATTGCCCCCTAGAGTCGGGAACGACTAGCACATATGTGCAAGGGGAACCTTTACCTTTACCTTATCAAACCATGCTGTAGCTTAATGTGTTACACCAATGCAGTCAGTCTGGTCAGTTTATTTTTGTTTTGATAATCCAAAAAAATTGAATTTATTCAATAAGCCATGATTCAGATAACCATGTCTAATGAACCAAACCACAGACTGAATTCATGCTAAAACACACTCTATACAGTAAATATTTTTGTCCGGAGTATGATAAGCAGATTAGAAAATGATTGTGCTAAGTATGCAACTTCAAATTGCTTAAGACGACTTTTCTCCAAATTAATGGGAAAATTCTTATTCTGCCCTCAGCAGAAACACCAGCAACTTTCATAAAGTCTTTATAAAGATCAAAATTAGTTAATACAGGTGGGAGGAAGAGTGGAAGTTATTCATCTTTAATATATTTATTGTGGTAAGACAATTCTAATATAAGTCTTGTTTTGTACATAGGATTTACCCAACTGACAACTTTTTTGGAAACAAAAAATAATAGCTTACTAAATAGAATTTAGAAATTAGAATTTAGACATCAAGTCACAGAGAAATTATTCTCAGCTGGATACAGTTTTGTGAAACCAAAAGCTCTCTCTTGTTATATGCTGCCTTTGCATAAGGCTACTTTGTACCTGGAACTTTCATCAAAAGTTGATGAAAGATTCTGATCAATCTACTATGTTGCCATAATGGTTATTCACCCATCCAAGACCCTACCAACTTGTTCTGGGGGATGCCAAATACTGTTTCCAACCCTGTTAGGTCCCAGTTTGGTATAATGATAAAAGGTACAAAGCTAGGAGTGAGGAGACATGTACCCAAGCACAAATGCCAGCTGGGTTCCCTCAAACCTAGGTAAGGAGGCAAGAGAAACCACTTTTGAAAATGTTCCCAAGAAAACTTGAAAACTCCAGGGATGCCCGGAGGCTCCAACTGGTGCAGAATGCGGCCGCACGGGGGATTATGGGAGCGACGGGGCGCTCCCATGTGACTCCTCTCCTGCGCGAGCTGCATTGGCTTCCAGTGGACTTCCGGGTGCGCTTCAAGGTGTTGGTGATCACCTTTAAAGCGCTCCGTGGCTTAGGGCCGGGGTACTTACGGGACCGCCTTCTGCCACCAATAGCCTCCCACCAGCCAGTTCGCTCCCACAGAGAGGGCCTCCTCAGGGTGCCGTCGGCCAGACAATGCCGGCTGGCGACCCCCAGGAGGAGAGCCTTCTCTGTGGTGGCACCTACCCTATGGAACAATCTACCCCCAGAGATACAAGTGATCTCCGACCTCCGGACTTTTCGTCGGGCCCTAAAAACTTACTTTTTTCAGTTAGCCAGTCTGTCTTCATTTTAGGGTTGGTTTTAAAATTTTGATACGGATTTTAAATTGACAAGTTTTAAATTACGGGCCAAATTTATTTAATTATTTTAAATCTATTTTTAATTGTAATGTTATGTATAAATGTTTTTATTTTGGCTGTTCACCGCCCTGAGTCCGAAAGGAGAAGGGCGGTATAGAAGTTTGAATAATAAATAAATAAATAAATAAATAAATAGGCAGTGGGAGTCAAGATTCACTTGACAGTTAACAATAGTAACAACAATTAAAGTGGAAACAAGAGGCATTCGGAACTCTTGGTAATTGCTGCCTGTTTGGTTTCCACCAAAAAGAAACTTATAGAAGATTGCTCTTGTTTAACTGAATCAGGATTAATTCAGTTAGTCCAATCAAATAACAAGAGCCAATTTGATGTAATGGTTAAGGCATCAGGCTAGAAACCTAGAGACTGTGACTTCTAAATCCACCTTGGGCACTTGGGCCAGTCTCTCTCTCTCAGCCCAGGAAGGAGGCAATGACAAACCACTTCTGAAAATCCTTGCCAAAAAAGATTTCAGGGACTTCTCCAAGTAGTCTCGAGTATCAGACATAACTGAGCAGAAGCACAACTGAACAGTGCTTCAGAAGGGGAAAAAAATGCACATTGACTGAATTTGCAGAAGTTACTGGGCAAAACTGAAGTTGCAGCTTGGTGTGCACTTCTGGTTTGCTCATACAATATCAATCACATTTTATTTCTCCTTTTTGCCCTACAAAGGTCAGGAAATTTCAGATCAAATTACAGCAGATTAAATAAATAATTGCCTTGGTTTGCCTTATGACTATTTGGGGCACAAATCAATTTCAAAACTTATTTTCTATCTCTATCTGAATATTGTGAGGTTAACTTATTCTTTTCAGCAATTTTTCTCCTGTCATCCTCCCCTCCCACCCCCACTCCACTGTTTAATTTTGAAGATCCACAAAAACTTATTATTGGAAAGTGCTTCAGTTGCTTTCAATAAAAATATATGGTATTATGTGCTATACTGTATTAATTACACATTACATGTTCCATAATCGCGTTAAACTAACTTTTCTGTTTTGAACTGTTCGACCCCACCCTCCATCAAGCCTCTTGCAAAAGGTCTAACTCTGAGGGCACATTTTGTTCAGAAATCCCCTTAGTACCATTGGCATCACCTTTATATCAATTTGCCCTTTCCAAGTGCCATGAATCAAGTGTCACCCTGTCATTTCTGTGGAAAGCAGGATTCCGCTTTACTTCCCTGGTGGCTTTAATGACCCAGTTTCCCCAAAGCGGGAACTGCTGGTCTGTTCTCACCTAGCAAATGGCTCTGTTAATAATAAAGTGCCTTTAAGCCAGAGGTGGGTTTCAGCAGGTTCTGACCAGTTCTGGAGAACCGGTAGCAGAAATTTTTAGTAGTTCGGAGAACCAGTAAATACCACTCTGACTGGCCCCGCCCCCATCTAGTCTCTGCCTCCCGAGTCCCAGCTGATTGGGAGGAAATGGGGATTTTGCAGTAACCTTCCCCTGGAGTCGGGAGGGAATGGAGATTTTACAGTATCCTTCCCCTGCCACGCCCACCAGGCCATGCCATGCCACGCCCACCAAGCCACACCCACAGAACCGTTAGCAAAAAAATTTGAATCCCACCACTGCCTTAAGCGTTTTAAATGTAGTAAAAGGAAATCAAAATAAAGATTTCAATAACCAAAAGGGGACAAGCCAGATGTCCTTAGACAAAAACCCGTTTCCTGGATTAAAGAAGGTGCCTCCAACGTGGCTGAGAAAAAGTGAATCTTAAACGGCGGGGCTTCTGGCAGGACAAAACAGGCGCGCTCGGCCCGCCATTTTGTTTGCGCCAATCCTATTTTAGCGACAAGTACCAAGGGCCTCTGGGCGGCCTCCCGGGGCTTAGTCTTAGGCCCTGGCCCTTGAGGGTGATAGGAGACAAGGCAGGCTTTTCCCAGCCCTTAAGGCAAGCAAGGCAGCGACTGCTGCTGCGGAAGAGTGTGGTACACTTTCAGATCGCCGATTCGGCCGGCAGGGCGTACCTCCTTCTGCAAGTTCAGCGGCTTCCTCTGTCCATACTTGGAGAAAAGCCGAGGTCAGGACAGCAACTTTAAGGAGGAAAACCACCTGGAGCGGGTGAGAGTCCTTGGCCACGAAGTCTGAGCGGGTCCTCCGAAAGCTAAAAGAGGAAGAGGAGATCCCACACTCCAGGCCTTCTCCGCTTCGTTGCGGGTTCCCAAGTGCGCTTCCTCGGAGGCCGCCGCTTAGTATCGAGACGTTCAAGTCCTCTCGGGGCCAGGGACAAATAAGTGTCTGGATGGATCGCGAAGCAAATTACTGTTTTTTTAAAAAAGCTCCAGGCTAGACGGTCGCTGGGTTCACCCAGCATCATCTCCTGTTAGTTTTCTGAAGACTTACTTAGAAGAATAGACAGCTGAGAACTGGCTGCCTGCTTAAGAGGGCTGTTCGAACCCTCCCCGCTTGTTTCCATTCTTTTCTCCCGCGTTCAGACTGAGCCCTGAAATCCTAACTTCTCCACCGATGGGAAAGGTTACATTGAGTAGGGCTGCAAAAATCTGGATGATCTCTAGATGGCAGCCAAGGGCATGTTTTCTCTCTCCCCTTTGCTGCTGCCCTCTGGTTACGGATTTATCCCACCCGCCCTCCGCCCTCGCCAGATCTGGGCGACCTCTTTCTCAGCCAACCTGCTTTGAAAGGCTCCTGTCTGAATCAAATTGTGGAAAGAACATTTGGGATCGGGATGGTCAGTAAAGCTTATGGATACATAAATGAGAGCACCGTGAAATGAAGGTGGGATATGCCCCCGAATAAATAATAAGCCTCCGTGTTTAAGATTAAGGCGCAAATCCAAACAATAACCCGGGCAGTCCCAGGCTAAGAGCTGATTTCCGCAGGCCTTCGAGTCCATTTCCAAGGACAGCGCTAGGAACTGCGGCCCATTTCACATGTTCACTTCCCCGCTGGTTCCGATAAATCATCTTTGCTTTCAAGGTAGGCTGCTCCATCTTCTTTCAATATGCAAACTGGCTTTAGGTATTGGAAGACAGAGCTTTCTCCGGAAAGCTTTGCTAGCGTCCCCCAAAAGCTCCTGGGCTGCTGTTGGAAAGATTATTGGGGGTGGGAGTGGAATTGTGAGACCACCTGTCACATAGATTACCCACAGCCAAAGATTTTTCTTAAACCCACAGATTTCAATGGGGGAATCCCAGAGGGGGGAATTTGTGCCAGTCTCAAACTTCAGGTATCTGTCCTATGGGAATAAGTCAACAGAAGGTCCAGTTGCTACTGGCCTCGTCACATCTCATTTGTCAAGCCATATATATCATCGCCGGTTTGATGTAACCTTGGTCAAGCAGCAGGCTAGAAACCAGTTCTAGTCCCTTTTTAGGCATGAGAGCAGCCTGAGTGATTTGGGGCCACTCTTTCACAGCCCACCCCACTCACAGAGGTATTGTTGTGGGGGAAATAGGAGGAAGTATTAGGTATGGTTTTTGCCTTGAGTTATTTATAAAAAAAATAAAATAAAGGCAGAATAAAAATTAATTAAAATTAAATTCGAGTCGGAATGAGAATGACTAACAACGCACCTCCGAATATGCTAGATTTCAACCCCCCAAACTCCCAGTTGTCAGTATTGAAGTCCAGCACACCAGACTAGAGAAGTCTGGAGTAATGATAACAAGAATAATACAAGGTGGGCGATAGGGAGGCATTTTGAACGTCTGCAAAAGAGAGGGAGAGAAATCGTGAGGTTTTTGTCTCTCTCTATTCTCCCAGCAGCGTAATGTCGAGTTAGGATTAGCGGACTGGGGAGCTACAGCTGAGAAACACAACCAGGGACGAGCCATACCTCATTAAGGAAGTTAGAAGCAGAAACAAAATGCAGCCCCTCCGCGAAAGATACTATGGCCGACCTTCTTCCCTTCAAGGCTCAAAGGCAAGAAGAGGTCGACGTCTTATTTTGGAGTCTCGAGAACCTCGAAGGGGCGCTATTCTCTGATGCCTTATTGGGAGGAAATCCCGTTTGCTATGGTGGGGGAGCTTTCTGCCAAAGTACAACATTTAAAGTCTTCCTGAGGGCTTAATTAGGATACTGAGAACTTTCGCCCATTTTAGCAGAAAATATCTTCAGTTTTATATCGCGATAAATCCGCTGATCTCTGGTTTATCTTGGACACTACAGAATAGTTGGAAATAAGAGCCCCCACTTTCTATAGGATGAAAGAATCCTATATTCACGAAAGAAGTAAGCCTAGTCCCACCGCAATTATACTTACTCCAGGAAAATGCAAGGTTTCAGCTTAGCTGCTTTTGTGTTTGTTTTATCGGTTAGGATTGCCTAGTTCCCAAAAGACACTCCGTGCCTTTCTCGGTTTTGCCCAGTGAGAGGTGTTTTGTTTTTTTTTTAAGGTGGGGGTAGGTTTGTTGGAAGTAAGGCTCAGGGTGATCCCTCCTCTGGGCCCATTGGGGGTCACAAAAGGATGCGCGGGCTCCAGTCTCTCCCAAAACTTAGCATTAGACCAAACCACAAAGAATCCAAAAGGAGAGAGAATGTTGAAAGCCATCCAGGCTGCCTTAAAATGGGAAATAGGATTCCTGCAGGCTTCAAATTAGGCTCTGCAGGACTAGGTAATAAGATGGCTTGAGGGCACGAGTGTCTTAACTCTGCTCCTAGGAGCTGAAAAGAAGAAACGGAAACTATCCAAGCCCCACCCATTTGTTAAATAAAAAATACCCAGTTGCTGCCTACTTAGAATCACCCATCTGGATATACAGTCCGAACGGCCCTGCTAAAGTTTTAAATGGGTTGCTAGTGAACGGATTCATAAATTTTAGATGGGTTGCTAGTGAACGGATTCTGCTATCGTTAGTTAAACCTCTTGTTTACATTCAACTAACTTTATCCAATAGAGTAGACTAGGGCTAAATGGCTTTCTGTCGTCTATGAACTCTGACCCTTGGCCATGGTGTGCTCTGCAGAACTTGATAGCAAAACATGGAGACTGATTTTAACCAAGTCCCCTTCAAATGTGAGCACCAAGAAGATTCTGCTTTGTCTTTATGCGGGAAGTTTCGAAAGCTCAAAGCAAACCTTTTTCGGAAAACTGACTACTATTATTCTCGAGCTGCTTTGCTTTACTGATTTCAGTCTGATGGCCTTGGGGGTTCTTTAATCGGAAGTCAATCTCTTTCGTTCCAGGAAAAGAGAGAGTTCTGGTGATGAATATTACCCCAAACACATTTATTTAAGAACAGGTTCTTGAACTCTTATCAGACTTGTTTCTCAGCGAATCCAGAAGTGGTCCCTTCTTAAAACAGTGGGCGCTATTAGCTTATACTGCTGTTTAGTGGCATTTTGGGGTACTGAGCTCTCACGAGATTTAGTTGCTCCGCTCAAGAAGCAGAAGGGAAAGATGGGCTCCCAAACTGATGAGATGTCATTGATTTTCAGGACAGAACTTTAAGGCGCATGGGAGGAGGAGGGGTAACAGAGATACACTGGGTGAAGGCTGCTTGGATCCTGCTCCGTGGTTGTTTCAGTGGTACGTTTTGCTGAATTGCAGCTCCGTGGGTTTAATGAGAAAAGCCAAGTGTCCTATAAGTGGAGCACGCTTCCCTGGTCCTCCTGGGCAGTCCCTGTGCTTTTCTTGGCAAGGAGGCAAAAGCAGTCTCTCTCTGCCTCTCTTTCTTTCTCTCTCTCTCTCTCTCTCTCCCCCTCCCTCCCTCTCTCGTTTTCCATATTTTTTTTTAAAAAAACCTCTGGTCTAGTTTAAAGCCCTAGAATTTCCTGGACGCCTTCCATTCAGATTCTAACCAGGCCCAGCTCTGAATCAATTCTGAGTAGTGCAAGCAACGTTTATCTTAAGCAGCTTCTTTAAGCAGAGAATAAATAAGGACACCGGATCAGAATTTTGGGCCGGGCGCCTTCTTTAAGCCAAATTTCCTTTCGCAACTGCTCGGCATGCCTCTCGATTCTCGTTTTGCGACCGGGCTGGTTTCACAATGCGAACTTCTTGTAGGCTTACCTCGGAGAAACTCCCCTCTTGAGGAGGCCTGCGGAGTCAAGGGCGGCATTTTGCCTGATCCCAGGAAACGAACGCAGAACGCGCCTGAGCCCCGTCGTTCATAAAATACTTTATTGAAATAAAAATCAATATCTTCACGTTAATACAAACTGGTTGCAAAATGAGTTTGCCGAATAAGTTCGGAGACGCTCCCCGACCCCTCCCCTCTCTTAAACCAGCGCAGGAACGGCCACGGTCGAATCCCCGAGCCCCTTCAGAGGGAGCGGCTCTTCCTTAGGCGCACGCAGGGAGAGGGCGGAAGGGCTGGGACGCCTAGGAAATCCTACAACGGAATCAACTGGGAATCGGAGTCCACCCTCACCTCCACCCCCGGATCGTCCTCGTCTCCTTCCTCCGCGTGGTGACTTTCTTAAACGGCGGCGAAAGCTGTTGCAAGACCCCTGCAACCGAGGGCTTTAGTGGCCCCCTGCTGTCTACGCTCAAGGCAGGCGACCCCCGGGATGGCATTGCAAGCCGGCGAGGCCTCGTCGCTCAGTAAGGCGCGTGAGGCTGAGGTTCAGTCTTGACGGCCGCAGGTCCCAGGCACCTTTCCGCTGGCCAAGCCGGGGGAGGTTCGGGCGCCTGCAGTCCAGCATCCGCAATCCGAGCGCCAGACCTTTAGTCCGCGGGCATGCGGCGCTCCCTTATTACTCCTGGATGACTTGGCAGGGAGAGTCGAGGTTTTCCGCGTGCTGCTTCTCGGCTTCCCGGGCTCGCTCTTGTTCGGTCAGTTGCTCGCTGCTGGGGATGGAGTTTTTTTTCGGGCGACCTTTGGGCTTGGTGGGAGACTCGAGGCCTCCGCCTTGCAAAACCTGTTAAAAAAAATATATCCCACACTTGAAGGTCACAAAGGGTCTGACTTAGGCCAAATCAAAACACAAAACAATAGTTAACGCCGGGGAGTAATGCTTGCTTGCCGAAGTGTGTGTGGGGGGGGGGGAGTAGCTGGCAAACTGAAAGTCACCCTCGCGCCCAATGAAAAGATATTATTGCTGCTTAGCGCTGCACAGCAGGCCGGTCAGCCTCCGGATCCCTATTTCTGCTTTTGCAGAGACTAGGTATTGAACACGAGCTTGCAAGGCAAATACTCAGCTGATCAACCTCTACTCAGCAATACACCTCGAGGTGGAGAAAAGCCTCTTTTGTTCGACTCCTTCCTCCCCACCCCCCACCCCTCGCATTTCAGGCGGGTGGAAAATCAAAGGCGCCGTTTCTCGCTGCAAATTCACTTCCACGTGGATGTGATTAGAAACGGGGGTAAATAAGCAATCGTTTCATCTGTGGCAAATGGGCCACGAGTGATTAATTTTAAACGATGACAGCATAGGTTACGCCGTATTCAAGGTTCAGGACCTGCTGGTTAAGGAAGGTGGCAGCCTTTCCTCCTCCAGGGTATTGCTTGGAAAATCAGCTTCTGCTCTCTAAATGTTGCGCAGAGCTTTGAGGGAAGCAGGCTACACACACACACTCCCCCCCCCCCCCAGTACAGACGTTGCCTTTCAAACCAGGGAACGCAGCCGGGTAAGCTGCAGGCCATCTAACTCCTTAGTTAGATGGTCTGCAACTAGGGGAAGTGAATTTTTCCCCAACCGCTGCCCAACAACAACAACAACGTTGGGCCCACAACTCTTATCGTCCTCAGCTAAAGCAGAAAGAGCTGGGATGAGAGTCGTGGCCTTAATTGTTTGGTCAGGCAATGTTGGATAAATTGCAACGTCCTTTGTGCACACTTTGGCCTAATGAAAAACCCAATGGAACTCAAATTCTGGCTTGGAGTCTTCAACTAGAGGGGAGAGATTCCTAAGAGGGGCCATCTGGGAGTCACGTGCGCCTTGAAGGCAAAAAGAAGGCCCCATTGAACTTAATCTCTTCTATCTAGCTGAAGATTCCAAGTCAGAATAACCGCGTGGGTTTCCTAAGTCTCCGCCTGGGGCCCCCATGTCTTGCGATTTGAGGACGTCGTGGCTTGTGCCTTAACGGGGGGGGGGGGCGTGAGGGCTCATAAAACCAGTTGGTACCCACTTTATCGAAAGGCTTCGTCCCTATTTTTTATGAGGGACTACAAGCAGGCTTTCCTGTGGTATGCGACAAGCCCTTGAGATGGGAAAAATGGTCCCAGCCATGCCTGATCGGTTGGCTAAATGTCTATGGGGATTCAGGTCTTGGTTGTCCCAAAGGTGCTTTTCAAACGGCAGCTGGACTTTCTTTTTACCTTGAAAATGTTTCGCTTCTCATCCAAGAAGCTTTCTCAATTCTGAACTTTAGTAACCGAACTAAACAAAACAAAACCAAGGAAGTCCGTTTGTCTTTTGAAAAGCACCTTTGGGAAGATCGGTGGGGCTACTTATGGACTCCGCAGAAATCTTAACTGCTGTAGTGGCACAGCTTCCATAGGCGAACGCTGGAGGCCTGGGCCCAGCAAGGGAGAAGAAATCCTGCCTCTGTGTTGTATTCCCAGAAGAATTTCACCTCGTGCAGTCAGCTTGCTTTTCCAATGTAAAATGTCCATATTGATTGGGACTAATGGGACTTGTGCCCTAAAGGAAGGGATCCCTGAGGAAGGATTGAAGCCCTAGGTGTATTCCCCCCCCCCCCACCTCCCTTTGATAGGAAGACAGGCTTCCTCAGTTTGGCAAATAAGGGCTGGGTGAAAAGTTCATAGTCATCAAAACAGCACACTTACTATTTTCTTCCACTTCATTCTTCTATTTTGGTACCAGGTTTTCACCTGCAATTGACTCAGGCCCAGGGATTCCGCCAGATCTATCCTACAGGGAGGAGAAACGTGCATTGATTGTTGGGCCGCTCTTGCTTGCCTCCCCCACACGGTCCCCTGTTAAGTGTCTGACGCACTGAAGGCAGAGCACTGGGCTCTCCTTCCCGCCAAGAGCCCGAAAAGAAACGCCGGGAGCAGCCCTGAGAGGCCGGCTGGCTTCCAGGAAAGGCACGATCCAGAACAGTGGAGCATAGGTTGCCGTTTGACAAGCAGCTCCCGGCCACGCTTCCTGCTCAGGGAGTGCTTGTTTGGTCCAGCTTAAGATCACGCGTGTGTGTGTGTGTGTGAGCGAGAGAGATGGGGGTGGGGGGCACAGAGACAGACAGACAGTCCTTTTTGTTCACCCCTTTGAGAAACGCTAATCCTCTTGTCCTCCACCGGTCTCCACCCCACCCACCTTCATGCGGGAGAAGACCCCGGTTTCCACTTGTTGGAAGTGCGGACACACACACACTTTCCGCTACTAGATCACCGGCAGGCAGATAGGTCGCGTCCCCCTCCCCACTTCCCAGATCCTCCTCTTGCAGATCTGAAGGAAATCTCTCCTCGACGTAACCTCTCTGGTCATCCCTCTCTCTCTCCTGCGAGCTCGCACACCCCCATAGTAAACCCTCCCTCCATTCCTCTCCTCCCGCCCCCCCCCCCCCCCGCGGGACTCTGACCTCCGGGGGATGCCCACCTGTCGGGCGTGGAGAGATACTTCTGCTTTTCGAAGCGCTTCTCCAGACCCATCAGCTGCAGTTCGGTGAAAACCGTGCGGCTCCGACGGCCTTTCTTGGCTTTACCGCCCCCCTCGGGGGTTCCCGGCTCCAGCTTCCCGCGGAGGTGCAGCTCCAGCGGCAGGTGCGGGGACCCGGAACCGCCTTGGAGACTGGAGCCAGCAGCCAGTAACGCCGAACTCAGACCGGAGCAGCCCAGCGGCGCCAGGGGGAACTTGAAGACTGCCGCCTGCTCCGCCTTCAGCACCGCTGGGGAAAGAGAAAAGCAGAGAGACAGAGAGGGTGACACACCGGACAGACGCTGAGTAAAAATAGAGGAATTCTCACCACAGCCCCATCCCCACAGCGGGTATGGGGGGGGAGATGTGAATGTGGAAGGCAAATAAAACTTGTGAGGAGGTGGGGGGGGGAATGTAGCCTCTGCCCTGCTTCACTTCGGGAACGGCTGACTATTCTCAACCACAAGATAGCTGCGATCCTGACGCTGCCTTTACCCGCCTCCAGTTTCTCGATGGGGTTCCCAGAAAGGTAGCCAAGACCGGCGAGAAAGCAAATCAAGCTGTGTTCTCTGGGGCAGACCCCCATTCTCAGTCCTCTGCATTCACCCAGGGGAGTGGGGGTCTGGCGGCACCTTAGAAACAACCTGAGGGGGGGGGGGCGGGAGGGCCACAGCCTTCCTTCTACAGGACGGCACCTTCTGGACAAGATGGACTATGGCAGCAGCCCATTACATCTGGAGGGCGCCGGTTGGGGCAGATGGGTTTTTTCAGTTAAGCTTGGTTTGAAGTTTGATTGACTACTACAATAGTAACCTCTAACCGGGTAAAAAGGGCTCCTATCCAATTTCAGCACGACTGCCCGGTGGGTAGTTTCCTCTTTGACCCCACAAGCATCTGATTGGTCCAAAATAGATTGGTCCAGAAGTTTAAGGACAGGCATTTCACATCCGGTGGCACGCAGGCACATTCTTTTTTCCTGTTTTATTTTTTTTCAAGTTTAAGGGCCACCCTGTAGGAAAGAAGTTCAGGACCGTCCAACCCTGAGGTGCCTTTCTTGGCGCAATCTGGTGCCTTCTTATCCCGGGGTGTCTTTTTCCGTTACCCCAATCTCTACAAGTCTCAGGGTGCTGGCATATTTAATCCTTCCTACTGAGGAAGGCTGATATCAGGTCGGGGGTGCCTGTGGTGGGGAGGTCTTGCTCCGAAACTGTAAGCGCCACCTTCTAAAAAGGACTCGGCTCTATTGGTTAAGAACAGGGTTTCTTTCTGAGGAATCGTGGTTGGTTGCAAAAAACGTGTTCATGGCAAATCCCTGCGCCTATTCTGTCGGTAACCAAAGTCGCAGGGACCCAGAGGTGCGGGCAAAGCAGCACTGATGAGGTTTGGGGGTTATACCGAAGGGCTCCGGGTTGAAGGCGAACGGAGCCCCCTTGCGAGCTCTTTGGGGATCGGAAGCGCTTTTTCTGGAACAGGGGTGGCAAGGACAGTGCAACCCTACGGATGCTGTTTGACTGCAAATTTCGAAGGTCTAAAGCTGCGATCCAGGCCTCTTAGATGGAGGCCTTTCCAAGGGAATCAGCAGCCGGTTACTTCAAGGGATCCCTTCCATCGTAAATCAATACAGTGAATTTTCCATTGATTATGGAAATTAATGATACCCTTCCAGGGTTGTAAATAAGCCCCTGTGACGTCAGGAGAGCCTAGTATGGAATTTACTCTGTTTTTGTTGAGGTTTTAGGGTTTTGAAGTGCGTCTACGAGGCATTAAGAACAGCGGTCAATATTGGCTTCTTTAAAGATATTATTTTATTAAGCTGCTCCCAGAAACCATGGGATTCTTTTTTCGTCTGTCTTTTGGTCCGAGAAGCAACAGATTAGTCTTTTGGAAAGCTAGCAAGCAAGCACTTAAAAAAAAAAAAAAGGAGGGGAGCAAAATAATTTTCAAAAAATGCAACTAGTGCACTTTTTTTTTTTAATTAGACAAAAATAAAATTAGGTTTTACCTAGTTTGATAATGAAATGTCTGCAAGAAAAACAACCAAGCTCAGGGAGCACAAAGGGCCCCACAACATTAAATTTGTACTTATCAGAATTTACTTTTTCATAATAATATGTGGAAATGGATAATCACATATTTTCTTTTACAGCTATATAGGCAACATATAAGTCTTATCTTTTAAACTGAAGCATAAACCCTTCTACTGTAAAGCAAACACAATCACACAAACGTATTTCAAAAATATATGACAATTATATATAGTTCCAGTTTGAAATTTTTCATCTGCTTGTTAAGGATAGCTTTCCATTCAATTATATAAGCAAATTTAGAAATAATCAGAGCTGTAATGTGATCTTTAAGTAAAATGAGAAATAGATTGTTTTTGGGTATAGCAGAATGTAAAAAGTAAATTTGTAAGAACCTGTAATTGTATATAATCTATATTATTGCATTAAACCATGTTTCCTAATTTGGACCAATCTCTACTATAAAATAAGAATAAGAATATTCCAAATCCTTGGGAAGGAATTGATAGATGGATAAAAACGCCAAATCTAGTCTAAACATCTGGCTGAGTAAGCAACTGACCATATTGGCACACTGGGAGCCATACCAAAAAAATCTTGGGCAACACTTAGAAAATCTGCACACTGACAAAATTTCCATCAGTCAATTCAGTTCAATTCAATTTATTGCGGTTGTAGACCAGTGCATCCGTCAGTCAATTGCAAAATATATACTACACATATACTAGCCGATAGATAATGACATCCTAGGTTCTTGGGAAGGACTTGATGTGTATGAAGGCCAACACTAGCTAATTATTTGGCAGCTGTGACTTCACATTGTTGGGAACACATAACAGCCATAATAATAATAATGCAGGATCTATTCAAGTTCTCTAATTTGGTTCAGTTTTATGTGTATTTAAAACATACCTATTAGAATCCCTGGAACTTGGAACACAACCAGTCTGAACTCTTTTGTCCTATTACTTAGTGCTTAATACTTAGAGTCTTTTCAGGCACGTTTATGCAGAAGCAAACACTACAGAACTGAACAAAATTTGAGGAATCCCCACAAGACTTCATAGAAGGAAGAAGCCACGGTAGCTTCGGCATCTTGCCGAACCAACAGTAACAAAAAGCAAGGCCACAATAACTCCGCATCTTTTATATCTTTCGGAAGTCGGGAGGATAGAGATAGATCATGGAAACGTCCAATCAATGTCTATTTTCTTTGTTTTTTTTAAAAGGCAAACTCTGAAGTGCTTATTGTTTCAAGGTCTGTTTGAAGGTCAAGAAGCCTCAAGGAAAGTCGAACAAGTATTCTGTCTCCATCTTCGAAACATTAATTCCTGAATCCTAGTTCCAAAAGTTATTCCCTTCCTTATCCAGGCGAATTCCAATCCTAACCTCAGCCTTCTTGGTGATACATCTTAAAGAACAGGCATAGCTTAAAATCATTTCGTGGAAATGCGTCCATTTTATTTCCTCTGAAGGCTTCTGAAAGGCGATACTCAAGTTTACAACAGTAAATTATCGGCGGGGGATGTAAAACGCAGCGGGAGATCCCGCCGGATTTGTTCCCGTGGCAAAATCTGCTAATGTCTTGCTCTGGAATTTCCGCTCTGGATTCTCACCATTGATTAATCGATAGAGAGCTGGAGAATATCCCCGTAGACCCAGAATCTTTCTACCTTCATCGGTGAAATCAATTTACAGAAATTCTTCCTCCCTGGGTCTCATTCCTTGTATCTGGCTATTAATCCAATCTCTTCTTAGCAGCAAAGCTTTGGGGGGTGGGGGGCTTAAGCAGAGCTGCTCTGCAAGCCAAGGGGCCTGTCCTTAATATCCAGTGCCGTTGGCTCTGACATAAAGACAGGACTGTGAATTGTTGCAAAGGTTTAGGCTATGGAATAATAACAGAAAAGAGGTCCTGCCTAAAAGCCTATTCCGAAGCGGGACTGCAGAGGCCCTCCAGAAATGCTCTCAGAGAAAGAATGTTTATCTAAAGCGGCTTCATCTATTGATATCTCATTAGGCCCCGTGTATTTCAGGGAGATGATCAGTGATGGGATTCAGCCAGTTCGCACCACTTCGGGAGAACCGGTTGTTAACTTTCTGAGCAGTTGGTGAACTGGTTGTTGGAAGAAATCATTAGGGCAGAGAACCGGTTGTTAAATTATTTGAATCCCACCGCTGGAGGTGATATTTTCAAAACGTAAAAGTAAAGGAGAAGAATAGAACATCATCACTTCTTTACAGTGATTAGTCACTTTCACTTTTGGGGTTGTACAAATAATGTCACTGGGCCACCCTTTTGGAGATTTGGCACTGTCCCAATTACTGATATAACAACAACACTAATACTACACCTATTAGTAATGAAGAATTATTTGAAGAGGCGTCGAGGTTTTCGTTGGTTTTATAAAATGATTCTCCGAAAATCCGGAGAAAACTCCTCCACTGCCCGCTCTTCTCTCTTCCCCCATCAACCTAAAACGATCAATTGTTGAGCAGCCCCCTCGAGAGAGAGAGAGAAGGGACAGGGGCCGTTGCGTGGCCGCTTCGGGGTCATTCTCCAATTAGAACAAACCAAAACCAGGGAACAAGCGACTCCCCAGAATTGAGTCTTGGACATCGCCTGGATTGGATTTCGCTTTTTTTAAACACTGTGAAAAGAGGCTGGTTCCTGGTTGATTTCAGCCGGCTCTGGAGCGGCCCTTGTCCCTCGCTTTGCGGTTGGCTTTGTCGCGCGGAGATTTCAGCGTTGCAGATTTAGAGAGAACCCATTGAAATCAAACCTCGCCGTGGTTCTCGCAACTGAACGGAGGGTGGGAAAGAAGCCGATTATTGATGATGCAGTTTAGGCCCACCTCAGACCAACGCAACTACCCGTCCCAAGGATCGGCCACCTTGTGCTTTCCGGCTTCTCCTCGCGGTACAATTCACGGTTCGGACACCGGGGAGGTCCAGGTGACAAGGAGTTGACAGCCAAGAAGACCCAGCTGAGAGCCTCAGCCGTGGCACCTTAGCTTTTTTCCAAGGCACCAAGGAGATCCGAGGTACTGGAGGGAGTGCAAAATCCAAAAAGCGACCCCTGGTTTTTTTTCTCCCCCTCCCCCCCTCTCTCTCTTTTCTCCAAGCCTCGACCCGGTCCCACCGATCTCTCTTGAGGAAATTGCCCAGTTTGGCCTAAAGTTAGGCCTGCCTTCCGAGGACTCCTTCAGTTCTCGGCAGGCCTCTGGGGCCTTCTTCTGCAACAGTCTGGGGAGACCCGGAGCAGAGAGGCGGCCAGAGAGGTGTTCCCTGAAAAAGACCGGTCCAGGAGCTCACAGGACTTTCAAAAGGTGCAAATGCGATTAGTTAACTCGCCTGCCCAAGCCTCCTCAGCCCTCCCCTATCCCAGTCGCTGCTCCAAAAATGCATCGGGGCAGGAACCCTCTTCCCTCTGCTGGTCCAGATCAATCCTTCAAGTTGTACCTGAAGGAAATCTGGCGCAATTTAGGTCAATCTGGCCGCTTTCCACTCCCCAGTTGGGTCCTTGGACTTCTAGAAGCTTTCGCTGTTTCTTGAACCTTTGCCCTGCAAGCTTTGGACCAAGCTGTCAACTTGGACCCGTCACTCTATCCCAAAAGTTCCTAGACAGAGACTAGAATGATTTTATATGCAGGACCATCGAAGCTGCCTTATTCCGAACAGGACTAGCCCGAAGCCTAATTTTTAAGGCTCGGTGAGGGAGAGGCCGGGAAAGAGTTGAGATTTTCCATGAAAGCTTTGAATCAATGGGAAGGAAAATATTACTCTCGGTGGAAAAGAGAATGCTCTGAGGAAATGAGGCTGTCCTCGTTTAAACCCACTAAACGTATTTGTCACTGGGTTTTTTTTTTAGAGAGAGAATTACTCTGTGCTTGTTGTCTGTTCCACGGCGGCAGGCAATCGAAACTAAAAAAGTCGCACGGGGTGTTACCGGGTCCTCAGTCCCAGCAGGGCACTAAAGACCCCCTTGTTTTCCCAAGCCCCCAACTCGCAGGTGATTGCAGGATCGCAGCTGTAGCCAGCCCTCCCAGTTGAGTCGGAGGGTTCCTGAAAAGAGGGCAGCTTCCGTCTCCAGCTGCAGAGAGGATAAACTCGGGGCGACACCCCAAAGGCAGGCTACAGGGGGGGAGGGAGGGAGGGAGAAAGGTTTCCTTTCCAGATCAGTGGGAGCCAAATCACTGATTTCAGGGCAGGCTGGAGGAAGAACGCCTGGGGAGGAGGGAGGGCGAGAGGGCGAATATTCTTTCCCTCAGGGCCTGTGAGCAGCCTCATCCTCGACTATGGATTGATTTCCGCTTTAGCCCCTCCCTCCAAGACCTGGTCTTTGCCCCCTCCCGTCCATGGACAGACACATACACGGGTCCACCAAGAGAGAGAGACCTCGTACAAGCGAAGACAGACCTACCTAAGGGGTTGTGGTAGGGTCGGGTCGACAGTAGAGCCTTCACGCCAAATTTGAGCAGCTCCCCGGCTGGCGCCGCGCTCTTGGCATCCGGGTGATCCGTCAGGATCTCCTCGATCATAAAGCTCCGATAGCGATGCGACCGGTGGTCAACGAAAGGATCTGCTGGGAAATAGTGGGCGGCGGCGGCGGCGCCCAGATCCAAGGGGTGCTGCATTGCTCCTGTGGGGAGACCCTTCCCTTCCTTCTGCCAACTCGGCTCCGCCACTCCAGACTCAGAGCAGCCTCTCATCTGGCGCTTCGGCCGGGACCCTCGGAGGCCTCGGGCAGGCCGGGGCCATCCTCGCTGCTTGGAGAGCTGCTGGTCCTTTTGCCAATGCTCTCCGGGGATCTCCACCGACCCGCTTTGCCAACAGCTGGATTCCGCCGCTGCTGTTGCTGCTGTTGCCCTCGCCGCCGCTCTTCCCCTCGTCGCAAGGCCAAGCAGGGAAGTCCGCAGCCTCGGCTTGCTCGAAGGCGCGGCCTCGGCGGAGCAGCTTCTTTCTCCACCCCAGCGCCACTCCGGACAACAGCCGATTATAAGAGTGACGCCGCTGGGAGCGCAGGGGGCTTGGGATGTCGACGCGGGGGGGGAGGGAGGGGGGCGTGCGGCGAGGGGCGGGGAGTACCTGGCAAAGCACTCTTGATCCGGCGCGAAACCAAGCGGATTGGCAGCTGGGCTGGCCGGCTGAAGCGCGCCCGCCCCCTTTCGCAACTCCATCTACGAAGGAAGTCCCGGGTCTGCCCTGCCTAAGGGCCAAGCGCCCCGCACAGTCTCGGAGAAGGGAAGGGAAGGGGAGATACAGCGGCGGATCCCGAGGAGCTGGAAGCGGGGTGGCCAAGTCCTCACCGCCAAGGCCAGGGATGAAAGGGAGCGATCCTGCCTTTCTCTCTCCCCCCCCAACCCCCTTTAAGGCATCTGCTGCCTGCTTAGTTTAGTCATTTTGCAGGCTGCCTCTCGGGTTCCCAAAGTCCCAGATGCTAAAACCAACCCCAGCGCTTTGAACCCGTATACGAATTTACAGGGGCATTTTACTCGGGTGCCCCTGAAGTAAGGAGGATGCGGTGCAGATTTATCTGAATTTTGCGTTTAGATTTTGAAAGAGCGCTTTCAAACAAGATTATCTTTATAGTCTACAACTCTTTCGCCCTGATGAAGTTAGTCCTTTCTACTCCTTTCCTATCTTTACTGACCATCAAGGGGAAGCTTCGTTTGTGAGTCATGAGATGTAAGAATATGAGGATTTTTTTTAAAAAAATTATATTTATATCCCGCCTTTATTGCTTTTACAAATACTGTAACTACCTGAACATGTCCAACACACCTTCCTCCTATTTTTCTCCGCAACAACAACTCTGTAAAATGGGTTGAGCCGAGAGGGAGCGCGACTCGTTCAAAGTCACCCCACTGGCTTCCGTGGTTTAAGGCTAGAACTCACATTCTACCCGTTCCTAGCCCGGGTGCCTTAACCACTGGACTTAACTGAGGATAATGAGAATGTTTCTGAATGCGAGGTGCTCCTTCGACAGTAAAAAGATCGTCCCCATGAATAATCCCCGCTGGATTTTGGCCCACCCATCCCCACCCCGGTTGAAATAGGATTCCAGACTCAGAAGATGCGACTTTTGAAGACCAATCATCCCTAATTAGCCTTGGGCAGCAGAAACCACCTCGCTTACAGTACAACTGTTGTAGACCTCATTGTATCTTGTAGTTTATCTGAGAATCATTACCGAAGAAAGTGTTCAGGATGGTCAACACTATTATGTAAGATTACTTGAATGTTTTGTAATGTTCAAGAAGTTAAAAGGCAGCAACCTAATACTCATCTGGGAATTAGTGCCATTCAACTAATTGGAGCTGAGTAAACTTGCACTGTCCATCTTACTCAAAGCAAAGTGAGTGCCCCAACAAAATTAGACACTTCTATGCCTGTTTAACCAGAAGCATCTCCCGCTGGGTTGAAAGTATACAAAAGATTGAAAGCATTGAAGCAATTATGCTAAAAACCTCTCCAGATACAACTGAAAAAAAGAAGATTGCATTCCTCTCCTTCTTAGGAGTAGGTCGTTCTTTCCGCAGGAGTTTTCTGGGAAACCATTTGGGAAACATGCATTAAATCGATGAAGGAAATTCAAGTATGAATTTAGATAAAATTTTGCTACGGAAATGTATTTCTTTTAATCAGTTGTTACAATCTCTCTCTCTCCCCCCCTCCCTCCCCCCCCCCCTCTCCCTCCCTCCCTCCCTCTTTTCTCCCCCTCTCTCCCTCCCTCTTAGAAAATATTTATCCCAGAGCCACCGAACTTTTATGAACAGGCAACATTTACGCATGTTCCCTTAATATTAAGGGAATCGCTCCTTCGCAGCCAGTGCCCAAGGTGTTAGGAGGAAAGAGAGGGAGCAGAAGGCAGGGGCTGCGTTTCTGTCCAAATGTGGGTTAGTGTCTCCGTAAGGGAAGTCCCCAACATTTCGAGGTAGAGAAAGAAGGCAGCTTAACCAAGAGACGACTTGACTTATCACAAACTGGCCAATTTATGATTCGGGCAACGTCTACCTTCAATGTATTAATGTATGGCTACATTCAGCAATAATTGACCATTCCAGGATTTGGGCAGTTTTATTCAGGTGTATCCAAGACTTCATGCCCGGGTACTCAGGGAGAAGGATATCTTCTGGACGTGCATAGAGGATTGAAGACCTCCTTACTGCTGGGGCTTCAGGTAGCCTGAAGGTTTCTCTGCTTAGGAACATGCAACGCACCTCACTCTCTTTCTCCTCAAACTATTTAAAAGTCTTTTACCTTTTGGTTGGATGCGCAGGTCCTTTGATAGCTGGAGATGTTTTTGAGCTTGTTTATTTTCTGCTGCTGTTTTAGGAAAGAGGTCGGGGCTATGTTTGGTTCCGTCTATGGCTAGAAATTGGATTTGCTTCCGAACGCTGGCCAATTCATTGTGTTTTAATTTAACAGAATGCTTAGCCCACTCTATGATTAAAAACAATCCCAAAACAATATCCCAAGAAGCTTCTGAAAGCAGCGTGAAACAATATCCAAGGAAGGGCCTGTCGCAAAACCAACCCCAAACCTAAAGTAAACCGAAAGGCCAGGAAGAAATGTGTATGGAAGGGAAGGTATTTAAAACAAAAAACAGAAAAAGAAAAAGAATAATCAGCGATCAAGATAATAAACTTGCTCTAAACATCAGAAAGGACGCCTCCTATTCGGGGATCCTAGAAAAGGCAACAGTTTCTTTCTTAACACGAGATTGACAAATTCCTGGCTAGAATACGCAGTGAGGCCCTTCTCCTCATCGTTCTGCATCCAACGCGGTGTTGTTCCATATGATCTGTCCCCACTTTGGAGTGCCTGCCTTTTGGTAGGCAGAAATTTAAAAGCCAATTCAAGGTTCTGTGGGAAGGTCAGCAAATTTTTTTAAAAATTAGATTTATTTATTTTTTTTAAAAAAAAAATCACGCTCTCTGCTTTTGGCCTTTCTAAAGTTAGTATCCATCTGAAATTTCTCCCGGCTTCCATTTTCTTAGGTCCCCTTTCTTTGCTCAATATTTAAAGTAGGCTGGAACTGCTAAACTTCGCTCCAGCTTCTTTTTCCCTACCCCGGACGTCCAATCGGGGGACTTTTGAAGACTGGAGACCCCCTTGATAAAAGTGGACTGGCCATCTGGCGTTATATCTTAGGCTACCATCCCTTGAGTATCAAAACCTATTTTGCTGACTATTGGAAGAGCCAAATCAGCCTTTATTATTTAAAGTGAGCGCCATCCAAATATTTGGATTGGGATTCGAATCATCAGGTTCCAAGGGGCAACAGAGAGTAAGCAATAAAAGGCTATACAGAGCATTGAAGTTCTGCTATAAAAATGACCAATCTATTCTGCGCCGAGGGCTTTCGCTTTCATCCTCATTGTCCAGGGGCTCCGCCGGGATTGGCGCAGTCCTGCAGGGCGATCCTCTGCTTGCCTAACCAGCCTTCCTTTCTCAGGCATTATTTATCAGATTGCGGGCAGCATAGTAGAAATGGTCTTCCGGAGACGTCGTCCCCCCATTCTTTCCCCCAGAAGAAAATTTATTGCAGCCCAACTCTTCCACTTCCTTGTCTGCCAGATTCGGATCTCGGCGATCTGGAAGATTTGTGGCGGCCTCGCGATCATTTTTCAGAAACCGAGGTGGGCAAACGCTGACCGGCGGGCATTTGGCAACCAGGCGTCTTAAGCCTTTCTAGTGAAACTTTTCTAAAAAGGTGAAACACGAACACGGGCAGTAGTATAATAGAAAGTGTTTTTGGTTCACAACTATTCTCTCCATTAGCCCTCCTTCCTTCCCCTATGAACATACCAGTTGGATTCGATCAAAACCGATGTGAATAATCGACCTCAATTCCTTTCTGTTTTATGCGATCTGCTAATATAAGGCAGCGGCAGCCCGTAATTTAGTGGCCTCTAATTTTATTCGACTGCAGACCCATCTGGGATGGTGAGAACTGTAGTCCATCACCTTTGGAGATCGCTAGATATAAGGAGGTCCACGTGATAAGAGTAGAAGGAAGAGTAGAGGGAAGAGTAGAGGGAAGAGTAGAAGGAAGAGTAGAAGAAGGGTAGAAGGTCGTGAAGGAACCAAACCTGATGGTGGATTCAGAACTGATAGTGGGGCAGGAAACCCGATGGTATGCTTAAACTGGGAAATAGTGAGTGCTGCAATGGGTTGACCAGGGCTCCTAGGAAATTCCGAGAGCAGACTTGGTATCTGCTGCTGTTACATAAATCCTGATCTAACTTGTGCTGCACTTCCCTTTCCACGGTGCATTTCTTGGAGTCCCTCTGCACGTCTGACTGAACATTTGAGTTCCCCAGTGACCAGCCCACAAAAAACAAGCCTCTTCCAAAGTCTGGCTTGGCAGGAAGGATAATCTAACATCTTCAGCCCTGCCCAGTCTCTGGTAAAAATGAAGGTTAAAAAAAAATCCTTTATCCAAACAAAGGGCTTCCTTTGCTGTCTGGGTAGGAAGACAGGATAAAAACCCCAAGTTCCATTGGGCAGCAGCATCTTAAGAACAGATGTCCATATGTGTGGGGTTCCTCTTCTGGGACCAGAGACAAAGATTTTATTGGATTCATTTTACAGAGCAAAGTGAGAAGGGATTACTGATCCCTGGGATAACACTCAGGCAACTTTTCACAGGAAATCACAGCTTTCTCCAGCCAAGGGCCACAATTGGCTGGGGTGTGCTAAGAGACCAGTCTGGAAAATGGATTCAATTTCTTTCACATGATTTGTATCATAGTCATCCATATTATTGTTTCCTAAATATTTTATACTAAGTTCTCTTTTTCATTACTTTATTTCAGAAGCAGTCTTTGGCAGCATCCTGGGAAGTTCAGATGAAGTTGTCATTTTATGTCATAGGGATAAGGATCCAATTCTGGGGACAACACTTCTGACCACACAAGTCTTCCACAGTTCCCATCTTTCTTGACATGGTGAGAGGACAATAATCCTTTGATAATATCTAGTCAAAGGGGGAAAAAATAGTTGGCATGTCTGCAGTTTTGCAGTTGAGTTGGACTTAAATCAAGCCAAAGGCATCAAATGGCAAGCTTTCCTCACGCTAAAGGTATCAAACTCATTTTGTTAGGGAAGGATCACGTATCTTGAAAGCAAGAATTATAAAAGCTACATGCCTTCCATGTCCCGCTGGCTGCTTTTGGCAGGGAAGAAGAGAGCAGAAAAATCATGTTTGCCTGCCTCTATCTTTAATCTGGTGGTGAGATCCAGCCCAGTCATGTTATCAAATTTACTAAAGCATTTTGCAAATGCAGCTCCCTCCATCATCCTGAAATCTAGGTGATAATCTGCCAAGGTGATGAAAGTTAAAGACTTTATTGTGATCACCCTGATCTAGTCCGTTGTCCCAACAAACAAAGACATGGCTCCTCTTCTGTCTGATCCCCACTTCCACTTTATCTTGCCCAGCCAACCCTACACCCAGGTGAAAACGATGACTCAGCAAGGATGGCTAAGCCGCACCAGCACCAAAGGAGAAAATGGTTAAACCTAGAACCAGCCAGGAAAAATCCAACATGTTAGTTTTCTGGTTATATAATGGTTAAGGAAAAGGAAATTCATTGCCCACATTTATTGTATCATGCAAATATTTCTGGAAGTGCGTAAGTCTGTATCATGCAATTTAAAAAAATACTTTGTTACTTACATAGCAGCACAAAGATGACGTTTTTAAAGACACTATCAATCACTAGTGTAGTCACACAGATTCAGTCAACCTGGTTTATGTCTTTGAAAGCAAGATTAACATGAGACAGGAGATTACCATTGTAAAAGTGCAATTACACACATTTCTGCTCACATTTAATTCTCACTGATAGCCTAATATTTTTTTATCTCTGCAAAGTGTTTGGTCTTTTTCAGCTTTCAACTTTCCAGAGGGGCTACTATAGTCCTTGCTGACTGAGAAAGAAGTCCAAAGCATCTGAAAAGGCCTATTTAACTGGAGATCCAATTCCTTTATTTCAAGCTGGCTTGTTAATAGAAAGCACTGATTTAGGATCACAGGACTTCTCTGCCTGAAACATTCTAGAGAAAAGTCCTTCTAGACATAAAGTTCATATATGGATTTAAGAATCAGCCATGCTTTGAAAACTGTCTGGAATTCCAGTTTCTATTTTCTGGTTGAAATTACTCCCCGCTACTGATTACCGATCTCTCTGCAGAAAAGATTTAGTTGGTGCATGAACTCTCCCATCATCAAAACCCAGGTCATATCTATCCCAAGCACGCTAAGTCAGGATGGAGTTACTTTGAAATGAACTCCTCTTGAATCCTCTGAATGGAAATGGCAAGATAATGCTAACAAATCTCCACTTCTTGTTTGCTTTTAATTGGGAGATAGTTTCCCTTCCCTTCCCTGGTTTTTTTTTCCCAGCACTTTTTTTCGAGAAAGGTGCAAAGAAGTCTTTCATTTGGTACAAAGCCCTGCCCACCTGTCCCATCCTGAATCAATGACATGAAAAGGAGGCCTCTAAGAAACTGCCAGGAAAAGGAACAAAGCATTTTGCTTTGCTGTTCCTGGTCACTTCAGGGACAATGGCAGCTAGTGAAGTTTTAACTCACTGGTAAGAAAATGGCAAACTCAACTTTTCTGTGTGAGCAAATGTCATTGACCAGGAAGGACAGTTTGGGACAGAAGAACTGAAAATTCAAAATGAACAGTCAAGCCTCTTATATAAAAGTTTGTTTAGTAGAGAGGTTTGTCTGGGAAGGATGCAGAAGCCAACCATGTCAGACAAAGCATTTGAACAAACAGAACACACTATACATGGACTGGCCCTCAAAAGGGGATTATATTGATGCTCCGTCTCCAAAGAAGCTTGAAGCTTTTCCCTAGCTGGAAGAAATCCATCTGTAGCAAAGGGAGCTTAATTTTAAACCCTTTGTGCTGGGGAAAAAGTTGGAGCATTCCCCAAAGAAAGTGGGTGAGAAGACATTACTTGATACAGACTGGCTCATCAGAGACTGGGTTCACCTACCATCCTTAACTGAGTTATCAAAATTGAAGTTTGAATCCTGAGCTGGTCAACAGTCCCAATCTTCACAGCTAGCCCTGATGAACTTGCTGAGGCATCCATCAGGGGTCACAATATCAAAAGTTGAGAATATCTCAAGTTGAATTCACATCCTGGAGACTTTGCGGATATGTCTGTCTAGTGTATAGTTTTCTCTTCAGGACCCTTTCCCTTCGGGATCACTTAACCTAAAGAGGATAGCCTCCTCTTCAGGTTAAGTCTAACACCATTTGCTTAAAAAGAAAGAAAGAAAGAAAACTACACCGGTGTGGCTGAGAAGTTATATGATGGCAGGTAGTTGTTTTACAATTTGTATTTTACCATATGCTTTTCTACAATAGGGTGTTTGCTATTGTGAGAAAAGGAGATATTTTAGTTGCGCTCCATATTGGAAAAATATTTAAGAGTATTTAGGGGAAGGGTGGATGGGTGGTAATCTTATCCATCTACTGCCTGCCAAAGAGTGAAGCCTCAAATAATTGTAAGAAGAGAAAGTCTACAATAGTGTTTTCCCGGACCACATTTACTTGCAAGGAAAGCTGTTAAACCCTAGTAAAATCAACTGAGGAGGATGCTGCACAGAAGGAGAAGGCATAAAATCCAGTGTTAATCTGTGTAATAATCACTTATATTTTCTTAGTCTATTGCTGTTAACTTTAAGAGTAAGAGCTTTAACAGAATATACCTTAACAGCACATATTTAGTTCCTTGGAAGAAAATTTACTTGTGTAAGGTGATGTTTTTAAGTCCCCATAAATATGCCCACAGTGCCTACAATATGCTCAATAATCTTTCTAGACTGTATTTTTGATATACATACACACACACACACACACACACACACACACACACACACACGGTATATAATATATATATATATATTCTGAGGTTTTCGTGGGTGTTTGTATGCAGGTCTTTGGTTATTCGGGTTTTCTCCCGGTAAACTTGGAAGTATCATGGCTACGTTTCAATGAATACACACACACACACACACACACACATATATGTATGGTTTATCTGGGAGTATGTAGTATTGAATTTGATGGACTACTACAAGACTGCATAGTAAACTAGTTATTTACTTGTTCAATTTATATGGCCTCAATATTGAGGAGTTTATGGTGCATTGGCTTATTGTATTGTGTTGTTCCTTTTAATTAAAGTTTAGGTACAAAGAAGGACATATGCAGAACTAAGCAGATGGGGAAAATACAACATACACTATAGTTCTCTTAAAATATTATCATTAAATTATGTAATTCATAAGCAGTTTATTTTCTGAAGCATTTGACAGATGCAATGAATAAATTATTAGCCCCAAACGGTAACATCTCATGCATGCTGACAAGTTAATAAGCCTACAGCCTTATTCCCATGTAGGCTTCCATGGGGTCAAGTAGAGCAGGATTTAGGATATCCTTTTTTGCCAACTGTCAAGTAAGCATCTCAGATATTGAATGTCATCTTTAATTTTGCTCTTTCGCCCTTCCTTAGTAATAAATGAATGGTCTATATTGCTGTACAATTATTTCACTATATCACAAATATCTAATTATAGATACTATTTTGCCTCCTTCAAGATTATTTATTTTACATTAAAATAGAACACTTCATGGAAATAAAAAGAAACTATATGCTTGAGGGTGTCTTTTTTTTTTAAAGCAAAACAAAACCTGGGAGGCACATTCTACAGCCCCATCTTTGATAACTCAACTAGGAGTAACCCTTCAATTGGTAAGAAGTTTCTTCCTAGTGAATGCTGTACAGGAACACTTTTAGACTGTTCTCCTATTATAGGCACAGCCCAACAAGCCCAGTGTGAGTCCCCCTTGAGCTGAAAGAAAGCAGAGGCCTTTTAGCACTAGCAGTAGCACTCCAGTACCTTAAAGAAAGATTTGGGGTAAGGTTGCTTAGACCTGGGGCTTGACTTGCGCACAGGGGCTACTAAGGCCACGCTTAACAGTGTCGGTTTTGGTCAAAGGAAACGGTGGAAATGTGCTCCCCTCCTCCCCACGACGATAGCAAGACAAACCAAATTAGTCACTTTCCAGGGAGCCCAGAGGGCGTCTTCCGAAGCCATTCGACGAGGGCCTGAGAATGGCACCCCTGGAAAGAAGAGGGCTTAGCCCAAAGCTGCCGAAACAAACCAGGATTCCCCACCCGCCCCTTTTCTTATGAGGGTCTTCTCGGAATGGAAAAGAACTTGGGTTGCAAAAGCGCCTCCAGCGCGCCCTTCCAGACTCTTTTTGAAGTTTTCACTCCAAACTCCCATCTGGAGGCAATTTTAGTGCCACCGTCCGTGCTCCTTGCACGGCATTCTGGATTTGACCGGGCTGTCCTCCGCCTCCCAACCAAGGACGGGAGGGTTGAATTTGCCATTCAAAAGACAAAGCCAGGGACTGAATCCGAAGCGATCTCGAGAAGGTCTGGCAGCGTTTTCCCCTCTTCCCGGGGAGAAAGAGAAAGACGCCAAGCGGGAAGGACCCAAGGTCTCTTAAGGGGGGAAACGGGGCTCTTTGCAGCCCCTTTGCCGGTTCCCTCCAGTCCGTTCACGAGGAACACAGAACAACCCCGCCGGCACTTTCGAGGGGGTTCCCTCCGCCCTTCGGTTCGCCCCAAAATTTCTTCCCAAAACAATCGGAAGGCGAGAGCGCAGCTTCCCAGAACCACCTTTGCCAGATCTCCCCGGCTCCCTTCTTTCACCTTGGTGCCTGGAGCGAGGGCTTGAGTGCCGCCCTTCGCCCGAGCAGCGTTGCGGAACGAAGGACCAGAGCGCTTCCGCGCAGTGGCGCTGGGATCGCGGGGACCGTCCGGAGACATCCGCCCCTCGCCGTCCCAGGTCCTCCCTCGGCGCCTTTTTTTTTTCCCCTCGGCCTCTGGATGAGCAGACCGGCCAGCGT